TCTTCCTTTGGGACAACCACGCACAGGCGCTGAGAAGCCCAGGACATGCCCGGACTGGGAGGCGGGCAGGTCAGAGAGCACCCGCACCGGCCAGCTGGTCCCGCCAACGCCAACGGTGCCGCCCGCCTGGCGGTGACGGCAGAAACCAGGCGGAGCAGGGACTGAGTCGCTGGCCTGATGCCCACGCTCTCAGCGCGTGCTCACTCTCATCTCCTTCACGATTTCTGTGTGGAAGCCACTCCAGCCACAGTCCCGTTTTGTCTCGTTTCACATTTTAATTTATCTCCACTGACCTCGCAGCTTATGTCCAAAAGAACTTAGAGACGCACCCTTCCCTTTCCGTTCTGAACGCTGAGCACAGGTCAGCGGGGTATCCGTGCCCCGGCCAGCTGCCCGGCCACAGTGACAAGATTGGGTGGGCGGCAGGCGGCGGCTTTGTTTCCACTGACACGGCGCTGTGCGTGGAGTTCAGTTCGATTCCTAACTCTGCCAGCGTTCGGCGGCAGGTGTTCCGGATTGGCTGTGCAAATATCACTGTTATTTACTTTTCATTTTTATTTTTTAAATCCTCACCCGTGGATGTTTTCCCATTGGTTTTTAGGGAGAGTGGAAGAGAGACGCAAAGACAGAGAGAAACAGTGAAGTGAGAGAAACACAGTGATTGGTTGCCTCCCCCACCAGCCCCAGTACCAGGGAGGGCTGGCAACCAAGGTACGTTGACCGGAATCGAACCCGGGACCCTGGGGTCCGCAGGCCGACGCTCTGTCCACTGAGCCACACCAGCCAGGGCCAGAACACTTTTAGAAACAGCTCCTGTGGTCTGGGCCGCTTGCATAGGGCGTTCCCGGTCCTTCTGAGGCCACCCCAGGCACAGGCTCTTGTCTGTGCTGAGCCAGGCCTGCTGGCCGGTGTCCATGGGAGAGACGTGGTTCAGGCCTCCAGGCTTCAGTTCAAGTCTGGCCCCGCCTGGCTGTGCTCCGTCGAGGGCCACGCCCTGAACCCCCAACCGTCCTTAAGGAGGTGCCGCCTGCAGCTCGGTGGCCCGTGTGCCCCCGGGCACTCAGCCCCTGTTGCTGGAGGGGGCCCTTCCTCCTATCACGACCCCTGCGGTTAGTGACGCCTGAGCCTGTGCCCGGTGCCGCCTTTGTTGTGTTTTCTGTTCCTCTTGCTCTGCTGCTCGAGGAAACAGAGGTGGTCCCACCGCCGTGGTGGGGTCTGGATGCATTGTGACCCCACGAGCTGGCCCCCTTCCCAGGTATCCCACCCCTCGGGGCAGTCCCTCCTCCCGCGTGGACTTGGCCATCCCTGGACCCATCTCAGGGGTGAGGGACCAGGGGCTGTGCCCACACTGTGGCACCTACCTTAAAACCACCCCAAAACCCAGCTCCAAGTCACCCCCCAAACACCCCTCAGGAGAGCTTGGTCAGAAGGAGGTTAGGTCGCTCAGAAAACCTAAGTCCCAGCGAGCTCCGGACCCTGAGTTAACCCAGAGCCGGCCGTGAAGATCTGCGGCAGGCGGATAGTAGTGTGCGTGGGAGACGCAAATCCACCCGCGGGCGTCAAAACTCACTCTCCCACCCGCCGACGTGGCTCAGTGGTGAGCGTCGACCTATGAACCAGGAGGTCACGGTTCCATTCCGGTCAGGGCACAGGCCCGGGCTACAGGCTCCATCCCCAGTGTGGGGCGTGCTGGAGGCAGCCCACCCATGATTCTCTCTCATCACTGATGTTTCTATCTCTCTCTCCCTCTCCCTTCTTCTCTGAAATCAGAAAAAATAAAAATAAACACCCCCTTCCTTTGCCCTGCGCCCACTCCGCCAGCCTCTTGCCCTCCCCGTCAGCCCTGCGGACGATCTTTGAAGCGTGTGCTCACCCTGCCACCCGGCCATGCCTTCTCCCACACACTCAGCGCAAAACCCCTCCCAGCCGCGGGGTGCGTGCCCCCTGCCCCTCCCCGCCTCTTCCCAGGCATCTCTGCTGCAGGCATTGACCACATGGGCTCGCCTCTGACTCCGCCCCTCCTGCCACTTATGCTGGTCCCGCCTCCTGCTACCAACCCCAGGTGCCTGCTCGGTGCTCATTCAGGAAGCCGTGGTGTGGACTTGCCGCAGGTACAGGGGATGGCTCATACCCCAGCGCCGTCTGGGAGGCCCGGCCACGGCCTGACCTCTGTGTGGCTAGTTGCCATGGTTTCCTTGGTGCGGTTACCCACTGGGGCTCCTGTCACGCTCACCCTGCCTACAGCCGGGTCTGTGAAGCCCGGGCTACTGTTGACCTTGAGCATTGAGCAAGGGCAGCATTCAGCCAGGGTCCTGCCGGCCACACTCCCTGCTCTCCTCTTGCCCTTTGAACCCGCATTGGGCCTCGCATACTGGTCTTCACTGAAATGAGGTGCATTTTAACTGTTTTGTCGTTTCCCTCCAAATACCGTAACCCCACCGCCCCCCCAGTGCATGCATCTTGCCTTCCCCGTCCCCGTCCGCGCTGCTCATTTTGAGAGCAGGGCCTGACCCCGCTGACCTTCCGAGAGGGTGTCTCCGTGGAGATAGCTGAGCGCTCAGTCCTGTGGTCAACCTCGGAGGTGGAGCCATGCTGGGCCCCTCTGCCGCGTTCGGCCTCTGTGTCCAGGTGTCACTGCCATCAGGTTTTTGGGAAAAGAGGTCGATTCCGCAGTTTCTTCTCATCTGGAGGCCACGCGTGTTTCACTGTCTCATGAATGAGCTCTAACCTTCGTTAAAGGAGAGCGTTCACATGGGCCTGCGGACTTCAGTGCTCAGCGGGGAGGACACGCTCCCTGGACTGTTGCCATGAGAACCGCCCGAATTAGAACGAGACTGGGGCCTGCCCATCAGAGGCAGCGGCTGTGGGTGCCGAGCCGGCCGTGTGTGGCCAGGAGGGCTCGCTCACCATGTTCATCGTCACAGCCGCATCGTGAGCTCCTCTGTGTAGCCACGCGTGTCCCTGAGGACCGTCAGCTAAAGCCTTTCTCTTACGTTTACATGGCGCCTTCTCCCGGCTCTTGTAACTGAACGCGGGTGAATCGAGTCCCCATGTTAAAATGCTGACGGAAATAATGTGGAGACCACCGATGGCCACCATGTGTTCGTGTTCTAAACGGTTAAGCGCTGTCCGCGTGCCTGTGTAACGGTCCATCTGTCCCTCCTTTTGCAGAAATCGAGAAGGGGGGCTGCGGGGACCCCGGCGTCCCTGCCTACGGGCGGCGCACAGGCGGCAGCTTCCTGCATGGGGACACCCTGACCTTCGAGTGCCAGGCGGCCTTCGAGCTGGTGGGCGAGCGCGCCATCACCTGCCAGCGGAACAACCAGTGGTCGGGCAACAAGCCCAGCTGCGTGTGTGAGTGTCCCCAGGGCCCTGCCCAAGGGAGCGAGACGGGGGGGCGGCTCCCAGGCCCAGGACAGCCTCACGGAGGGGACTGCCCACTCTTCACGCCCCACCCCTGCCTCGTCTCTCACTCGCCCCTGCCTGGTCCCTCACCCACACGGACCATTGTCACCTGTGCTAGTCAGTGCACCCGAGCGTCGGCCAGAAAGACCGTGGTCCCAGCAGCGCCTCCAGCAGGCATCGTGAGCGGGCAGGTGTTGGCGTGGATTCCATCTGACGCCTGCCCACCTCCTGCTGAGCCAGTGATGGGGCAGATGGGAGACTGGACTTCAGCCGCTGAAACAGGGGGCTCTTTATAACGACATAGAACGAAGGGAGGAAGTGTAGGTGCAATGATGTGGGAGAAGAACAAAGCCTACCCCTAGAAATGAATCCAGCAGGTGTTCCCTCCATAAGAGAAAAGTATACAGCTACAGGGCGCTGACTCCCCAAATGTGCACACACTTCGAGTAACTCTTCATTCCAAGGGGTCACATCGGAAAAGAAAGAAAGATCAATTGAGCTGTCAGCTGTGAGTGAGTATACAGTCTTGGGGACACCAAATAGGAAGGTTTTTCAGTGCACATTCTTTTTTTATTTTATATTTATCTATTTATTTTTAAATCGTTATTGTTGAAAGTATTACATATGCCCCCCTTTCCCGCTAGTGACCTCTTCCAGACCCCTCCACTCTGCACCCCCACCCCCGGCCACCCCACCCTCCCCCCGCCGTCCCCCTGAGGCTCCACAGTCCGTTCCAAGCTTCCACGTCCCTGTGCACACAGTACACTCTCTTCAAAGCAACTCTTCCAGGAGATTTTTACAGCAGCCACCCAGACGTGGTCTGATTTTCCAAGATAACGTTTCTCAAGAGTCACCCGTGACCAATGACGTACGTGGGTAACTTGAGCGACACTCACGTGAAGTGGGGAGTGAAACGCTGGCCTGGAGCCCGAGTGGAGCCCTGTGATTTCCTGGGACTGGCTCCTGAGACACAGACACACCCTTCTGTGTCAATCTCTGCTCCTCCAAAGGCAGAGGCTTCTCACGAGAAAGGCTGACGTCTGCCCACGTCTCAGCCAACTGGACGGGTCAGGTCTGAGCCCGGCCTGTGCTGGATCCGTGCAGGCTCAGGGGGCACCCCACACGCTGGAACACTCTATTTCCAGTTCGGGAAAGAGAAAGCGTTCGGGTCCAGAATTAGCCATTTACCTAGCGGGACGACCTCGAGGGGCAGGCACGGGCTCCCCCCCCCGTCGGTCCCCAGCTCCGTGCCCCGGTCCTGGGCCCCATGTGCGACGGGTGAACCCTCTCTCCCCTCACAGTCTCCTGCTTCTTCAACTTCACGGCGGCCTCGGGGGTCATCCTGTCCCCCAACTACCCCGAGGAGTACGGCAACAACATGAACTGCGTGTGGCTGGTCATCGCCGAGCCCGGCAGCCGGGTCCACCTCCTCTTCAATGACTTCGACGTGGAGCCGCAGTTCGACTTCCTGGCGGTCAAGGACGACGGCGGCTCAGACGTGACCGTCCTTGGGACGTTCTCCGGCAACGAGGTGCCCTCCCAGCTGGCCAGCAGCGGGCACGTGGTGCGCCTGGAGTTCCAGTCGGATCACTCCAACACCGGCAGGGGCTTCAACATCACCTACACCAGTGAGTGCCCGCGCCCGCCCTCCTCCAGGGCCACGCGAGCCCAGGGCCGAGCTTCAGGGTGCGCTGTGCTCATTGTCTCCTTTTGGCTTTTATTTTTTTTTAATATATTTTATTGATTTTTTACAGAGAGGAAGGGAGAGGGATAGAGAGAGAGAGAAACGTCGATCAGCTGCCTCCTGCACAACCCCCAACTGGGGATGTGCCCGCAACCCAGGTACATGCCCTTGACCGGAATCGAACCTGGGACCCTTCAGTCCACAGGCCGACGCTCTATCCACTGAGCCACACCGGTCAGGGCTGTTTTGGTTTTTAAATGTGTTGTTATTGATTGGCGAGAGGAAAGGAGAGGGAGAGAGAGGAACATCCGTGAGGAGAGAATCATCCGTCTGCTGCCTCCTGCTCGCCCCACGCTGGAAATCGAGCCTGTAACCTGGGCGTGTGCCCTGACCGGGGGTCAAACCAGCGGCCTGTCGCTGCAGGAGATGATGCTCAACCAGCGGGCCAGGGCGTCTCAGAGGGTTTATAATCGTAATTAACATCATGAGAACAGCAAAGCGATGCATCATTATCCTGGTGACGGAAAAACACATCTCTCTGTTAGGTTCCTGGCTCGGTCACCCCTGCAGTAAGGACTGAGTCTCTCACATGTCTTTTCTCTCCTCCCTCCTTCCCTCCCTTCCTTCTTCTCATCTATCCATCCATCCGCC